CTTATAACTGAAACAATAACTTTAAGTGATAATGTAGCCACCAGGATAGATTAGACTCTCCTGTAATATCATACAACCACTGAGTATCACAATACAGGCTTATTTCTTGTTCATGCAAAGTCTAATGCAGTTGAATGGCTCTTTTCCATCTGGTAGCCAGGACTTAACACACAATCAATTGCAAGTCTGGGGAAGATAAGAAGCAAATGGGTGTCAGATAAGCAAAGTCTCTGCTACAGACAGAGATGAATGTTCTTGTTAATGCAGGATAGAACCTAACCATTCAGATTATGCATAATCTTAAAAATCACTTTGATGAATGGTGGAAAATAGAGAATACCTATAGTTTAAGGATTTTTTCCCATACATCAGATTTCTTCCCATTCATATTTTTTTCAAAAGAAAGTTTCTAAAGAGACCAGGTAAATGATGTTTTCTTCAGGATTTTGATGAGATCTTGCTGATATGGATTTATCATAAAAAAAGGAGGTTGGGGGAGGAGAATCAAGAGCTGGCAGGCACAGAATCAGAGCCTGTGATCTTTACCGGCTGCCAGCAGTTAACTGGAGTTTGCTCATATACTGGGTTAAACAGTGTCCCCTCAAATGTATGTCCCCCAGAATCTCAGAATGTCAAGTTATTTGGAAATAGGGTTTTTGCAGCTATAACTAGTCAAGCTAAAATGAGCTCATACTGGATTAAAGTGTGCCCTAAACCCAATGGCTGGGTCTTTTTCTCTTTTTTCCCTAAGACAGGGTTTCCTCTGTCACCCAGGCTGGAGTGCAGTGGTGCAACCTCGGCTTACTGTAGCATCAGCCTCCAAGGCTCAACTGATCCTCCCACCTCAGCCTCCTGAGAAGCTGGGACTACAGGCATGTGCCACCACACCTGGCTAATTTTTAATTTTTTGTAGAGAAAAGGTCTCACTACATTGCCCAGGCTGGTATCAAACTCCTGGGCTCAAGCAATCCTCCAGCCTCAGCCTCCCAGAATGTTGGAATTACAGTTATGAGCCTGCTCTCGGTCACATGCTTTTCACTAATCCCTACCCCAGGTACCTCCCCAGCTCCTGACTGGTACACATCTGGAAGACTGCTTCCATTTTATACGGAAACTCACACCATCCCCTGTTGTGAGTCTCCTTGTTGCACGTTCTTCAGGATCATCCAGGATCTAGATCAGTTGTCAGCAAACTTTTATGTAGAGTCACACAGCAAATATTTTAGGCTCTGTGGCCTGGATCATCCCTGTAATAAAGACTCAATTCTGCCACTGCAGCATAACAGCAGCCACAGACAATATGTAAATGAATGAGTGTTATTCCAGCAGCTCTGCTAAGCATTTCAGAAATCCTAGTAAATATGCACCCATCTAGAGAAGGCAACTCGAGTTGCAACTCATTCTGCAGGAGACCCAGAGGATGCTTGATCAAAGTGCAACTTGAGGAGGTGGAAAGGTAGTGATTCACAGATCCCAACTGCTCACCCTCATCAAAGTATCTGGCAGAAGCAACGAGTTGTGGTTTAATTATTCCAACACAGAAATCACCGCAGTTCAAGAGCCTCTTATTCACTGGGGTGAGGGCAGCATACCTGAGCCGAATTGTTTCTCTTGCATGTTGATTCAGTTGATTGTCTTTTTTATGTTTTTTTTTTTCCTTTTGTTTTTATTACAGAAACAATTTGAAGCCAACTTGGTTAATTAGTCAGAGTGGTTCCTAGAGGAGCACAAGGCAGCCACCACGTGGAGGGGGAAGCCCTTGGAAGCTGCTGCTCAGCGTGGCTGTAGACAGCCAGGGAAGATGGCATCTGGACTCCATTCAGGGAGCTTCACCTGACAGCTCAGGGGGCCACAGCGTGGGTTTTCTTTTCCAGTGCCTCCAGGTCTTTCTCCTGTACTTGCAGTAACTTGAGACCAAGCCCCAACCTAAGGCTAGAATTCAGCTCGTGTTTTGTTCCCTAGGCACGGATTCCAGCCCAGCATGCTCGTATTAAATGGTGGTGTCCTGCCATGGTCTTCACAGCCTATCCTTTCCTAGAACTCAGCACTGCAGCAGGCCAGGATCTCCCTATGCCAGCACACTGCTGGTTCTCCTGTGCGCTCCCTGGGCCCAGAGCCTCTGACACTGGTGCCATCCTCCTATCAGACGTTCAACCCTTCATCTGGGACATCCCCCCAATGCCTACTTCTGCCATTGGGGCTCAGAAAATAATACCTCAAGATGAAGACCCAAGCGGCAGCCTCAGAAGCAAGTTTTTCCCTGAAATTCTCCTACCCTCCTGTCCCTGTCCCATTCTCATCCAAGGCTAGCCTGGAAACCCTCTTTTCCAAGGAAGGTCAGAAACCAGAACCCCTTTCTCCCCAAAGCCAGTCATAAAACCTAAAACTATTACTCTAACTTTCCCCTCATTCCCCTCACCTTTCTGTGTAAAAACTGACCATAAAGAAATTATGGGGCCGGGTGCAGTGGCTCATGCCTGTAATCCCAGCACTTTGGGTGGGGAAGGTAGGCAAATTATCTAATATTGGGAGTTCAAGATCAGCCTGACCAACATGGAGAAACCCTGTCTCTACTAAAAGTACAAAATTAGCCGGGCATGGTGGCGTATGTCTGTAATCCCAGCTACTTGGGAGGCTGAGGCAGGACAATTGCTTGAACCCAGGAGGCAGAGATTGCAGTGAGCCAAAATGGCACCATTGCACTCCAGTGTGGGCAACAAGAGTGAAACTCTGTCTCAAAAAAAAAAGAAATTATCTGACCAATGTTTGACAGTAGGGCATTAGAGCCCCTTTCCAGAAAGAGTCCTGCCCCACATCCAGAAGGAGGGAGTGCTGCCTGGAGAGACGAAGAAGACTCTAGACAGAGAGGCCCTGCTGGGTGTCCCCACTCCATCCAACAGCATTAGATTGCTCCCTTTTTGTACAATCCATCATACATGCCCCTACTTTGCTGAATCTAACATAAAAATGTCCAATTTCTACTGCATTTGGGTCTCATTCCAAAGGCTGTCGTGTATTCGCGTTGCATGCATTTGCATGCCTTCTCTCCTGTTAACCAATCTGCCTCATGTCTGACTACTTTCCCTCTAGTAGGAGCCCTTGCTTTCTCTGCTCCCTGCCAACAGCTGGGTTGACACCAGCCCAAGCCAGGAGCCAGGTTAGCTTCCTAGGCACTCTGATCTGTCTGCTGTTGCTAATTTCCAAGATCCTTTCTGCTCAAAGCAGCTTCAGAGGGGAATGGATGGAAGGGCACGCTCCAGAGAGGGGTATGAGCTGGGTGCGAAGGGGGTGCTGGCACAAGGCAGGCCCAACCTAAGCCACAGCTGTTCGTGCACCACACCCTACTCACTCCCTTCTTGCCTACCGAGCAACCTGCTTTTTGCAACAGGGAGGGCTGAGCCAGCCCCATGAACAGCCAAGACTAAGCCATTAAGTAAAGGCTGTACTTCGTTTTTTCTTTTTCCTTTGGAGTATATTGATGACAGCTAACAAATTGCCCCCAAGTTCTAGTTTCCAGTTCTGAGGGTGTTTGAATTCAGGAAAACAACCAGATGCTCGGTTGTCTTGAATCTGTTTAAATTCATGAAGAACTAGTTTTGCCATGTGGCGATATTTTGTTTTTCAGAAAGAATAACTCTCCGTTTGCTAATTGATGTGATAAACAAACACACACCTTCTCCTCTTCCATCATTACCTCCAAAATTTAATTTAACGGTAATATTCTGCTTCAGCAAAGAAAACAAATGGGCTGGTTACTCATTCATGGGAAAACAGGTAAAAATTTTCCAGTGACTGTCTTTTTGAGGTGTCTATTTTAAGAGATTTGATGGAGAGTAGGTTACAAGGTGAATATGCAACCTTTCAGGGAGAAAGACTGGCTGCTCATCAAATGCTGACACACAACCTGTGCCCCCAAACACAGAGCTTGTCTCCAGATTTCATGTGCTTCGCAAACCCATCTTAGGCCTGAATGTCACAGCCCCCTTTATAAAAACAATGCTGTTTAGTTAAACTAACTAGAAAAATACAGTAAAATGAATCCTTGTGATTCTCTAGTAAAACAATATGTTTTTCTTAAGAAAAACAGTGGTAAGGATAAAAGCCAAGCATTGTTTTAGACTCTCTCCAGTTTCCAAAATACCATTTAAAAAATAATTACACCCACAGTTTATGCATGATTCATTAGACAGCAAGATAAAATGTACTGCTAAATTTCAATTGCAATGGAAAGAGTAGGCACCATGAAATATGCCCCCAACTTCTTCGGATTATAACCTGTTTGGTCACATTTCTGCCACAACATAAATCTTGTCCAAATAGTCCATCTTGATTAAATTATAACAGTATTTTAGCTTTCATGATTTGATAGGCCTCTGAAGAATTTATTTTAGTTAAGCAATTAGAAGGTCAAATAATCAGTTATCAATATTTAAGCTTTTACTTGTGAAAGTTAATAGGCTTGAATCACAGGATCCCCTGCAAAGATGATGAGAATGTCATCTCAGGAAAAAAAAAAAAAAATCAGTTCTTGGCACACTAAAGCAGTTTTAAAGATTACAGTTTTTCTTTCTGTTCCTCCCAGCCCTCCAGGTAAAAAAGGATGATATCCTACTTTATACAGACATTGAAAGGGGGTCTCTCTATTGCACGTAACCTAGCATGCATGATCCACACTGATTGCAGACGGAATCTAGAAAACAGAATAGATACCACATCTTACATAATACATAGTAGGCATGATAGACAACATCTTGCAGAATGCACACAGCTCTTCAGCAGATGCAAGCTGATGCATTATTTCATTGGAAGGAGCCAGGCTGTTAGAATGAGCACCTGAAATGGTATTTAGACAGCAAGGTCTGCTGAGGTAGGCCACCCATTCTTTAGGCTTTGAGTGACGTCTACCACTGGGCTCTGGTTCTGGCAACTGCCTATGAAAGAGGAGCATGATCCGCATGGCAGGCCAGCGCTTGGTTTTCAGGGTCTCCGCATGATCATACCTGTGGTCTTCAATGGGGTCTTCTCTCCTAGCAAGAGTTTTAACCTCTTGGCGTGGATTTTGCCTTGATAATGGGAATCGGCCACCACGGCCGAAGTGAATGACATGTTGCAGAGAGTGCAGCACTTGTTCTTATCCACCATGTCAGCATCACTCCCCTGTGTGGAGAGAAAGAAAGGCCACGTGTGAGACAAACTCAGGTCTCGTGATTTCTTTTTCCCATTCCACTCCTTTGCAAATGAGACTTATCCCAGATGAACTAGTGTGTTGAAACATCTAGTTTTTGTTCTGCAATCTCTTTTTCTTCATGATAATCATCACCAAAACTTACTCAGTGACTGAGTTTGACATACATTTAGTTAGTAGATATTAACGCCAGATACTGGGATTTCAGGACAAATTTGCAGAGATGAGTTGTCCAAATAAAAACAGGGCCCACAATTAAATGAGAGCACATTGAGCCTGGCACGGTGAAGGAAAGCAGTCTCTAATTGGACCCATTATACTCATTAAAGTCAGTAAAATATCAGAGTTCAGATGGCCTGAATTATTTAGCAGAAATTATCATTTGTTATTCTGCTCTGCTTTTGACCAATTTTAGCCTCACCAGGATACATGGCCACGATGTTCAAGATTTTTAAAGATTTCTTTAAGGAATTGAGTGTTTCTCGTAATTAACTTGAGTCCGTATCATAAAGCTATAATGACTGTGCTGGCTGGATTTTCTGGGAGAGTTTATGTAATTTTACTTTTCTTCAAGAAAGTTGATTCAGTAAATGCCGCAAGAAATGCTTAAATCCAGTTGGATTTTTATTCCTTTGTAAGACTTAATGAAAATGAATCATAATTCAGAAAAAAATAAATCCTTGGTCAGACCATGTGACCTGCTATTGTGCACGCAGATCATCAATCACCTATACTTATGAAGGGGGGGATTAATCTATGCCTCTTCTCCTGCTTAGTTAAAATTGGAGGGTAAAATAGACTTTTAGATAAGAGGTTAATCTATTCCTTAATGGTGCAGCAATAGCCAAGCTTCTCTTTGTTAAAGAGCAAGCTGGAATGACTATATGGCCCACAATGGCCCCTTCTGTTATTCCTAGTGAGCCCAGAGAGTACAATTTAAAATTGGATGGTGAGGAGGATGAGGGTGGTGACGGGCTGGAAGAAGGGAATTACATATTTTATCTGCGTAGTAATAAGATGTTCAGACTGCTAGAGAGAGTGCTGCCTTGCAAATTATGTGGTAGTTAGGAAATGAACTCCTTCCTCCTTAAGGCATTAGTCTGTAATATCTCTGATAATTAGCATTTTGTCCCTGGAAGGAAGGGTGTGTGTGTGTGTGTGTGTGTGTGTGTTGTGTGTGTGTGTGTGTGTGTGTGTGTGTGTGTCCCTGGAGCAGGAGGCTGGCCTGAAGTTCAGGAGGAGACTTGAAACATTGGGGTGGGGTGGAGGTGGTTAGCAAGTAAAAAAAGACCTCTGGAGAGAGAACGGGTTTTCCCAGTGGGTCTTTTCCTGCTAGGAAATCTAGTAGCCCCGAGGCTGTGCACATTGTCAATACTCTTACTGAGGGTTTAAAACTGAAGTACAGGCCGGGCGTGGTGGCTCACGCCTGTAATCCCAGCACTTTGGGAGGCCGAGGCGATCACGAGGTCAAGAGATCAAGACCATCCTGGTCAACATGGTGAAACCCCGTCTCTACTAAAAATACAAAAAATTAGCTGGGCATGGTGGCGCGTGCCTGTAGTCCCGGCTACTCGGGAGGCTGAGGCAGGAGAATTGCCTGAACCCAGGAGGCGGAGGTTGCGGTGAGCCAATATCGTGCCATTGCACTCCAGCCTGGGCAAAAAGAGCGAAACTCCGTCTCAAAAAAAAAACAAAAAAAAAAAACTGAAGTACATTGAGCTTTCTCCATAGAGAAAAAACAAAAAAGTACAAATACTTTTATACTTCTGTATGGAATACTACAGAGATGAAATGGACCTGAAGGGAAAGGGAAGAGTTGGCTTCCTGGCTCTCCCAAGCTGACTACCTCCCCAGCCAAGCCTAGGAGATGGCACAGAAGCCAGGGAGAGGGCACAGACCAGGAGTACCAGGAAGAGGCAAATCAGGGACTTCCTAAATGGTCCCAGCCCGTTAAATGACAAACAGTTCACTCAAGAGTAATGAGAGACCAAACTTGGTGTCTCTTTACTATATGTTGGAGGATATTATTAGTCTCACTTTAAAAAATGTGTATACATTTGAGGGATACAAGTGCAGTTTTGTGACATGGATTTATTGCATAGCGGTGAAGTCTGGGCTGTTAGTGTAACAAGGAACTAATAATAGAACTACCATTTGATCCAGAAATCTCACTACTGGGTATCTACCCAAAGGACAAAAAAAATCATTGTATTAAAAAGGTACCTTCACTCTTATGTTTATTGCAGCACTATTTACAATAGCAAAGATATTGAATCAATGTAAGTGTCCATCAATAGATTATTGGATAAAGAAAATACACACACACACACACACACACACACACACACCATGGAATACTACTCAGCCATAAAAAAGAATGAAATCAAGTCTTATTTCTTTTTTAAAGGAAGATTTTCAGGGTAAAAGGTGGTGCTTGAATTATACTGCCTTTTTTTACCTACTTATGCATGACATAGGTCAAAGCATGTAATTTTTTAAAATTAGGAACAAGTTCATAGGCCAGAACTTAATCCTCAATCCTAGAATCTGGTCTGTGCATTTGTTCATCCATGTATCCTCTTTAAAATCTGAGCATCTGTTCTGCCAATTTCAGGGAAAACTTCAGCCATGCCTGGCGTTTCTCCCTGAAGCTCTCCCAGGTAGAAATTTCTAAGGAAAGTCTAGTGGTGCCCAGACACAGAGGCCAGCATCACTGTACACAATAACTGAGAACTAGTTTCCAGGGCAAAGAGCTGCCCTTAAACTGAGTAATGAAAAACGGATTTATGGTATTCATTTACCCAACACATTTTTAAGGACTTCCTAATTGTGTTAGATGCTGAGCCAGATGAGTATGACTCCATGCCCTGTTATCAAGGAGGCTGGCACCAGGAGAATTGGAGAAGCAGACAGAAAATAAGGGGAAGTATTATAATCAAGGAATTATAGTCTCATATTGCACTCACACTTTCCTAATTGTAAGAAAAAAAAACTCATGTAAATCAGGCCTGTTTATGTGGGTTTTCATCTTTAGGCCTTTCTTGAAGGAAATGCAGGAATGCCCTTCTGAATCACTTTGTGTCTAATTCAGTCATACCAGAATCTTTCTTCCTGGTTCCTCACTTCCTTGAGGTGAAGCTACTTCGCATTTTTTGGCTACAGGGTCTTGCTCTGTCACTCAGGCTGGAGTGCAGTGGTGTCATCACAGCTCACTGCAGCTTGGAAGTCCCTGAGTTCAAGCAATCCTCTCAGCTCAACCTCCAGATTAGCTAGGATCACAGGCACATGCCACCACACTTCGATAATATTTTTTTAGTGTTTGTAAAGACAGGATCTCTACAGCCTGTTTTCCAGGCTGGTCTTGAACTCCTGGGCTCAAGCAATGCTCCTGTTTTGGCCTCCCAAAGTGCTGGGATTGCAGGAGTGAGCCATTGCACCAGTCTGAAGCTTCTTTTGGCTCCCTTTACTGTATGGGAGAAGTGAGAACCAGCCTTTGGGTTCTCTGGGTGCGTTGTACATTCTTCTTTTATAGAACGTGGAATTATTACACTTACTTGTTTTCATATTTGTGCCCATCATGAGACAGCAAAACTTCTTTAAGATCTAGGAAATTGTCTCATTGATAGTGAAGGCCCAGCACCTAGCACCACACTTACTACACTGGAAGACCTTCAAATATGTACTGAATGAATGGAGGAGAGGTTTCATTTGTAGGATCCGTAACTTGCATGACATAAAAGTCAAAAGAGGAGACAGGTAACACAGAGAGGTCTATTGCAAGCCAACATTTTTCCAACTGACAGAAAGATGGCCAGGTGAAGAACCAAAGGTGTCAACAACTTATAAACCAACTTGAGGGTTCAGTAGAGAAATATGTCAGTTTCACGATGGTAGTTTTAATATCTATTTCTAGATTTCTGCTCTCCTGGGCAATCTCATTATCATATAGAAGAGTAAAAAATAATAGAAGAGGAAAACCCATTGTTACACAATAAAGTATCATGGAATATAGTTATATCATAGTTGTAGAAGAGGGACCAGGCAATTTTAGGTACCTGACAATAGAGGGGCTCTTAATATAATTATATATACATATGTATATATGTATATATACATATGTATAATTATATATACATATATATGTATATATAATTATACATATGTATATATAATATATATAATTATACATATACATGTAATTTTATATATATGCATACATATATGTATACATATATTCAATAAGGTATCTCTAAAAAGAAACACACACAAAACAAGGTTACATGTGGATGGACTGACAAAATGTGACCAGAGGTCCCCCTGACCTAATCCTGTATTTTACCTAGGAGCAGTAGCTCAGCATTTGCCAATTCAGTGTTGATGGTAACTTTATAGGACATAACTACTGTGGAAAATGAGAATTGAATGTACTTCATTCAAGAGAAATAAAAATATATATACACATAAAAACTTTTACATGAGTTTTTATAGCAACATCATTCATAATAGCCCCAGAGTAGAAACAACTCAAACGTCTGCCAACTGCACGAGGAGTAAATAAAATGTGGTATGTCCATACAATGGCATGGTGTTTGCAACCAAAAGAATCAAGTACTGATACAAGCTACCGCGTGGATGAATCTTGAAAACATTATGCTAAATAAAAGAAGCCAGTCATTCACAAAAGACCACATAATGTATGACTCCATTCACATGATATTTCCAGAACGGGAAAATCTATAAATGCTTAGAGTGAATTAGTGATTGTCGAGGAATCAGGGGGCAGTGGAGAAGTGGGGAGAAGGGAGATAGGAGGAGAAATGAGGAGTGATTGCTAATGAGTAAAGAGTTTCCAAGGTAACTGTAGATCTGGCAGAAACGCGGCTCTGTGAATACACCTAAAATCCTTGAATTTTATACTTTAAATAGGTGAATTGCATGACATATGAATTATATCACAATAAATCTGTTCTAG